TCTTCAGAAGGGTTACCAGTGCCAGGGACAGAAGATAAGCGAGGCAGCAGGAACCCCCACGGTCTCCTCTGCAGTGTCTACCTGCACCTCGTCATCCACTCCTTTCTTCACCTGCCCGTGCCTGAGGCCAGCTGTGAGCCAGGCTCTGTGCTGGGCCCTGGGCAGCCATGGGGCTGCGCGCAAGGGGCTTGTGGCTCAGAAGAAGTGGACGGGAACAAATGAGTAAGGGTCAGCCTCATGTATGTACCTGTGGTCAAAAGTCTGGGCCAAGAGCTGGGGAGTGCAAAGGGCAGTTTGGGGAAGATATATCCTCTGAGGAGGTGATGTTTGATTTGGCTCTTAAATGATCAGTAAGAGACTTTGTTGGCGGAAGTAGGATGAGGGCAGAAGAGCATTTCAGGCCTTAGCAAACGTGTGAAGGTGAGACAGAGCTGGTGTCTGGGGGAAGCTGCCAGTTCACTGCAGTCCCACTGTACTTGGGCTGACTCGAGACCCGACACTCCTTCCTACAACGAAGAAATCTACATATTAAGGTCATCGAGGTTGTTAATGAATTGAATTGTGTTGGAAATATGTGTTGGAATCCTAACCCCTGTACCTGTGGATGTGATCCTGTTTGGAAACAGGATTTTCTTTGTTACGTTAATTAGGCCGTGCCTGAGTAGGGTGGGTTCTAAATCTAATCACTTCTGAGTTGTAAAAAGAGCAGATTAGGCACAGAGACAGACACACACTGGGGAAAACAGACGCCACATGAGGATCGCGAAGAGATGCCCAGAGCTAGCTACCGACACGGTAGGAGTCAACAAGGCTGAGACCCTGATTTAGACTTTTAGCCCCAGAACTGTGGGAAAGTAAATTTCCGTGCTTTAAAGCCACCCACGTGTGGTATTTGTGTTATAGCAGCTCTAGGGAACTAAGAGAGAGGCTTACCGTTTAGGTCAAAATGGAGTAGTTTCTTCTGTGAGCAGGAACACGTTAGGATCGCAGCAACCCCAGTCACCCGTGGGGATTTGAGAATTAACCTAAAGGTAGGGCAGACTGAATGCCAGACCTCCGCAGGCTGATTGTACCTATGCTTGTCCCTCTCATCTGGTTATTAAATTTGAGTTTTATAAAGAGCTGCTGGTACCTAAGAATCACTCTCCAGGACTATGTACACGAAACCTGGAAAGGTGCACATTGTGGGCAGTTTCCAGGACTTGCAAGGATGATTCTTGCCTGACTTGAGATGTCACAGGCAGTTTGATGTAACTGGGGTGCAGGCTGTACTCGGCAACTGTGAGTAGATGGGGCCTTGATGCCAGGCTAAAAAAGTTTGCATTCTTCCCAGGAGGCAGTGGACAACTGCTGAAGGGAGTGGGCAGCAGGTGTGTGCCTCAGAAAGTTCTTGCTGGAGGCAGGGAGGAAGCTGGGCGGGATGGAGTGTGGAGGCCCCAGGGGTCTAGGCAGGAAGCAGCAAGATCACGGGATGGCCACGGGAAAGGAAAGGCGCTGCCAGATGCGAGACAGCGTGTTCATGTTTAACTGGCTTCCAACTCCCCTTTCTTCTCGTGATTTTCCCCAGAGAAGGGGAAAATTCCACAGCAGTGAAATAAAAATGGAACAGAAAGTGGCGTCCTCTAAGGATAAGATCAAACCCGTCTCATTGCACGGGTTTCCCAAGGCTTGGCTGAGGCACATTCCGTCATGTCTCCAGCTCCTAGCCAACGGCCGCCATGGCGCCATCTTGGGGCTCTTGCTGCTCCGCGGCTGGGCCCACTGGCTCCTTTGTCAGTCTGTCACATTCCTGGCCCATCCCATGCCTCCGTGTCTGATTCCAAAGGAGAAGTTGGTGGCCAGCCGTCATTCTACAGGGGCTTCCTGAAAGACCCAAAGGAGCAAACCTGGAGTAGGATGGGGATGGTAGGCCTAGCCCTGGCGTTCTGTCAGGCACCCGTGGGCTTAGAGGTCAAATCCCCCTTCCTTTCTTAACAAACAAACATGTTTTTCTGATTCGGCAATGTATTCTTCCTTATAGAAAATCGGAGGCTATAGAAAAACAATAAGGAGAAAATATAAATCAACCAGATATCTACCAGTCAGCTGTGAATGTCTTGGTTTATTTCCTTTTCATCTTCACATTTAGCACCCCCATTTCACTAACTAGGAGTCGTGCTGTGTGTGCAGCCTTACATCCTGTTTCTTGCTCCTCAGCATTACATCACCAGCATTTCCCCACATCCTTAAATCGTCTTCGAAACTGCGTTTTCCTGCTCCCCGGTATTCCTTGATCATTTAACTAGCCCCCAAGTGTAGGACATGGAGATTATGTTTATCATTTTGGTGTCACTCATATCATTTTGCGTGACATCATCATGTGTAAATCTCCACTTTTTCCTTAGGATAACGCTCCCTCTCCTTTTAGATTGGATGATAGGATGGTATAACTCAATGTGAGTTTTGTATTTTGTTTTATTATTTTATTTTTACTGAACGTTCAGGTGCTGATAAATGTCAGATTTAAGGCATTTTAAAAGTATGGCAAATGATTTTCATGGGTAGTGAAGACCTATTTTGAACAGCATATGCTGCTTATAAAAAGGTACTCTTTGGGGATTTTTAGAGATCATTTTTCCAATTCAGTGAAAGGGACGTGTATCGAGACTTGCTGTGTGTCGGGGCCTGGGGAGCTTCAGAGATGTGATGAGCTGGACGTTTAGGGACAGTCCTGCTTTTTTCCCTCTCTGTCACATCTCCAGAGTTTCAGCCCCTCCTGAGCATGCAGCCTCTGGCGGTTTCCCCGTGGGTGCCCGTCCGGGGTGGCAGCCCCTTGTGCTGTGTGTCTCGTGAATGAGGCAGGGTGCCTGAGTGGAAAGGGTGTGACACTTAACCCTGATCTCACTTTTTCTCTTTGGCTCATGCATCTCCTTTGGCATCCTGCCTGCCCCCCACCCCCTGTCATTTCCCCTGGAACCTGTCAGGTCGCTGCTGCGTGTGACGCTCAGCACCAGGTCAGGCCTTGGGTGTCTCCGAGCCCTTTGGAGACTGGCCACTGGACAGGAGGCCTGTCTGTAGTTCTCGGAGCGTTCAGCTCATCTTGCCATACTTGTATACTTATTGAGGGCACGGCCAACGTCAGGTTCACCTGTGGCCCCTCAGCATGGTAGTGTAGTGAAAAAGCATGGGCTGTGGGGTCCCACACTAAACCTCAGTTTCCCCATCTTGGCCATGGTGGTGCCTACACGCAGGGTGATGTGGGAATTACAGGCCCCTAGTGGGTGCTCAGTAAGCAGTGGGCATCTCTGTGAGAGTCGGTGCACATTTAAGCACCTACTGAATATCAGGTTTTACTGGTTTACATTTTCAGGTTTGCTTATCCACTGCTGCTATGACAGAAAGACAAGCGGGCGGCTTCAACAAACCGGAATTTACTTGCGCACGGTTTTAGGAGGCTAGAAGTCCAAATTCAGGGCACCAGCTCTAGGGGAAGGCTTTCTCTCTCTCTGTTGGCTCTGGAGGAAGGTCCTTGTCTTTTCTAAGCTTCTGCTCCTGGGTGATCTTCATGTGGCTTGGCATCTCTCTTCCTCCATCTCCTCTTCTTTCCCTTGCTTGTTTAATCTCTTTTGTATTTCAAAAGAGGTTGACTCAAGACACACCCCATACCAGTCCTGTCTCATTGACATAACAAAGACAACCCATTCCCAAATGGATTATAACCATAGTCATAAAACCAAACCAGACCTGTTGCCGTGGACTCCACTCTGACTCATAGAGACCCTATAGGACAGAGTAGAACTGCCCCATAGAGTTTCCAAGCAGCACCTGGTGGATACGAACTGCCGACCTTTTGGTTAGCAACCGTAGCACTTAACGAGTACGCCACTAGGGTTTCCACCACAGGCGTAGAGGTTAGAATTTACAACGTGTATTTTTGGGAGACACAGTTCAATCCATAACAACTTCTATTCTTCTACCAGCCGACTCGGGCCACAGTTTTCTCTGCGTTCACGTCTGCACAGTTTATAAGCACATGTAGATTACAAAACAGAGAAAGTGCTAACATGTTGGTCCCCGGCAGCACAGCATATTTCTTAGCTTCCCTTTTGTATTGTAACTTGAACACAAGAACTATGTCAAATTTATCTTTACGTCTCCCGAAATTCCCAGCCCAGTGACTGACTCCATAGTAGGAAAACAATAAGCAGTTCTTGAATATTTTATGAAAAATAAGGGTCCAAGTGCAAAATCAGTATTTTGTAGCAAAGTTAACTTACTCATGTGTTCAAGTGGAGACCTGAACATGTAAGTTTAAATTACACTGTTAAGCCTGTGTAGCCCCAGGCTTGCTCCTGGAGTTTTTCATTGCTTTAAACATCCCCAGTTTCAATGGGAAACCAAGTCGGTACGTGGGAAATGTGCAGGGATGGGCAGCTGTTGTTGTGGAGCGTCTCTGTGGAGGGAACAGAAAGCCGCAGAAGAGCCCGTGTCTGTTAGCAGCACATGCTTGAAGATGGATTCAGATGAAGAGGTCTAGACTAGCAGTGCCCTCCAACCCCATTCGACCTTGACCTTCTGAAGAACCACAAGTCCCCTCTTTTGTCATGGTCCAGGTCTTCAAGGCCCAGTCCCAGGTGACAGGGTATTGCTGGAACATGACACATCTCTCGCCCTGACCTTGCCACTGGCAAGTCGGTCTCCCATCTGTAGAATGAGAAGGCATTTGGGGTGAAAAGCATTGCTTTGGGTTTTCCTGGGAGGCAGTATGGTTGGAAAGAAAGCCATAGCAGGAGTGCCAGGCTTGCCCAGATCTCAGGCCCCGCTCAGCCTCCACCTCAGCCTTGGGGCTTGCTCCCTCCCAAGTCTCAGCTTCGCATCTGTGGAGTGAGGCAGAACAGGCGGTTTCCGGGGCCCTCCCCGCTCTAAAGTCCTGTGTTTGAAGCGGGCTGTTAGCATGGAGTAGGAGGGTTGGCCCGAAGGCCTTCTCAAATCCTGCTTTCTCTCTGTTATTTATGAACCAGAAAATGACAGATGGCGAGACCTGGACAGGAAATGCCCACTACAGATTGACCAGCCAAGTGCCAGCCTCTGGGAATGCCTGCCGGAGAAGTGTCAGGACAGCACCCTGTGGCACAGGGAGGCGGTGACGGCCTGTGCGGTGACCAGCCTGATCAAGGACCTCAGCATCAGCGACCACAACGGGAACCCCTCTGCACCCCCCAGCAAGCGCCAGTGCCGCTCCCTGTCCTTCTCCGATGAGATGTCCAGCTGCCGGACATCATGGCGGCCGTTGGGGTCCAAAGTCTGGACTCCTGTAGAGAAGAGGCGGTGCTATAGTGGGGGCAGTGTCCAGCGCTATTCCAATGGCCTTAGCACCATGCAGAGGAGCTCCAGCTTCAGCCTCCCTTCCAGGGCCAATGCGCTCCCCTCCCCCTATGACCAGGCCGCATTTCACCTTCGATTCGGGGGACAGCCCTGCCAGGGGGCGCCAGGCCCAGCCACCTCTGGACAGGCGGGCGATCTCTGGAGCCCCGATCCAAACCCCGTGGGAGGGGGCCGGCTCGACATGCAGCGATCCCTCTCCTGCTCCCACGAGCAGTTCTCCTTCTCGGAATACTGCCCCCCCTCGGCCAGCAGCACCCCGGCCTCAACACCTGAGTTGGCGAGACGCTCCAGCGGCCTCTCCCGCAGCCGCTCACAGCCCTGTGTCCTCAACGACAAGAAGGTTGGCATCAAACGGCGGCGCCCCGAAGATGCCCAGGAGCAGAGGCCTTCCCTCGACCTGGCCAAGATGGCACAGGTAAGACCCCCGCAGGCAGGTTGCTGCAGGGGCGTGGTGGTGCCCCTCAGAGCCACACTGGTCCTCGCCCATCTGGGCCAAAGGAGTCATGCCAACCTCAGAAACTCCTGGAGTGTCTAATGTCCTTGCTTTTTAAATCTCATTCAAAGAAAGGTTATTTCAACTCTATGTAATTATTTTTTTAAGTGTTTCTCTCAATTGAAAATCAGAAGTGCCCTTTCCCTGTGACACAGTGTGCCCATGGTGCACGCGCAGATGGGTGGTGAGAGGCAGCTGTTGCAGGCAGGCCAACGTGATCAGGCACCGTGATCCCCTTTGCTGGGGCCTTGTTACAAAAGCCACTGTGAGGGGTGTTCATGCACCCCGGGCTCAGCGTCACTCAGATCAGGTGGCCCTGAGAGAGTTCAAGGTGGGCTGGGGAGTAGGCACTTACTCCTTTGATTAAAGTGTCAAAAACATTCGCGCGTCGGGACCTCGTGATTGATACCCTCTGTGCTGCACTGATTGTCCTTGCTGTTCACTGCAGGTGAAGCCACTGGCCACATGCCGTGTCGCTTGACCCTCTTTGTCTTGGGGCCCTGCCTTGTGCTAACACTGATCTTGGTTTGTATGCAGTGAACTACACCATCATCAGGACGCTCTCCAAACCAAGTCAGTGTCTGCATTGAGTTCTTACTGGAGAGGCTCCTGCGGATGACAGTGTAGATGTAAGGCCCAGGGAGGAGAGGTGGCCCCTGTGACCCTTGAGTCAAAGAAAACAAGGACAGGTCAGTGTGGCGGGTAGAACGCAGAGTTCGTGGCTCTGGACCCAGGAGGTGCTGAGTTGCTTAATGCCTCGGTCTGACCCTCCATCTTTTCTGGTCTTGGGTATGTTGGCCTCAGTCATTGCTGGGTTTGAGGTGGATGAAGATGCACTTGGTGGTAAGGATGTGTTCAGAGGGTGTGGCCTAGCACGTGGCAGCACTGTGGCCAGGTGCTAAGAGGGTGTGGCGTAGCACACAGCAGCACTGTGATTGGGTGCTTAGAGGGCGTGGCCTAGCACATGGCAGCACTGTGGCCGGGTGCTCAGAGGGTGTGGCCTAGCACGTGGCAGCACTGTGACCAAGTGCTCAGAGGCTGGGCCTAGCACGTGGCTGCAATGTGCATGCTCAGAGGGTGTGGCCTAGCACATGGCAGCACTCTGGCCGGGTGCTCAGAGGGCGTGGCCCAGCACGTGGCAGCACTATGGCCAGGTGCTTAGAGGGTGTGGCCCGGCACACAGCAGCACTGTGGCCGGGTGCTCAGAGGGCGTGGCCTAGCACGTGGCAGCACCGTGGCCGGGTGCTCAGAGGGCGTGGCCTAGCACGTGGCAGCACCGTGGCCGGGTGCTCAGAGGGCGTGGCCTAGCACGTGGCAGCACTGTGGCCGGGTGCTCAGAGGGCGTGGCCTAGCACGTGGCCGCATTGTGGCCGGGTGCTCACAGGGTATGGCCTAGCACGTGGTAGCACTGTGGCCGGGTGCTCAGAGGGTGTGGCCTAGCTCATGGCAGCACTGTGACCAGGTGCTCAGAGGGTGTGGCCTAGCACGTGGCAGCACTGTGGGTGCTCAGAGGGTGTGGCTTAGCACGAGTCACAATGCGGCCACGTGCTCAGAGGGTGTGGCCTAGCACGTGGGAGTACTGTGACCAAGTGCTCAGAGGGTGTGGCCTAGCTTGTGGCAGCACTGTGGCCAGGTGCTGAGAGGGTATGGCCTAGCACGTGGCAGCACTGTGGCCAGGTGCTGAGAGGGT